TGTCTTCTCACTTCTCATCTCGGATTTAGTGCAGTCTAGACATATTCAGCATTGACATGTCAGCGAGAAGAAAGAATATGCAAGTTCTCTTTATAGCGAACAAATGTTGCAATCTACTAATTGTAAAATCTGCTCAGAGAAGCACATAGAAGTTCAGTTTTATCCTATGAATGAGGAAACATGAAGCCAAAGGGCACATTGTGGTTAATGTGGGGTATGCGATAGACTTACCTCCACGTGGTGCACCCTGGGCAACTCATACTCATACGACAAAAAAGTCTATTAACTGGCAATTGACTTCTGACTTCAAACCACCCTCACCCCATTGTATGTCATATTCGACTACTTTCACAGTACTCACCTCACCTTTTTCCACTTTTGTGTCTGTCTCTTTTACATCTTTGAAACTCTCTTCTGTTCCCTCTCGACTTATTTCACTTTGATGTTCCTCCTCCTCTGTGAAGCCTGAAATCAACTAAAGGGCTAATGATAACTTTCACAACGCCCGCCATTTGATATAAATTAACATTGTGATAAATGTGTGAAATACCTATTCACCAGCATGTTTTGACCTTGAAATTTCTCTTCTTTAAGTCGGGTCTTCCTTGCATGAAGTCCTCCTCCTTCAGGGGGCGTATTCGTTGACTGATTCAGCTTACATCTCATTTTTTTTCGTGGGACCTATTCTTATCCCTCCTCTAGGCTCGCGGTTCTCATTTCGTGCACTTGAAAGGGAAGGGGGCACTGTTTTTGGGAGAACGTTTTAATTTGTTTATGGGTTGGAAAAAGAGTGATTGTTGCAGGAATTAGTACGGAATGCTGTCTCTTTCACTTTCTCTCCCTATCTCAACCGGTATTGTGTTTTATGCGCTTTTTTTCTGTCATCTGACCCACCTCCACCGCTGATTTACCTCGCCACTACATTGCGTCTCCTTCTCTCCACGGTTTAGCCGTGCAAACTACTAACACGCGGAGGTTTATTGAGGAAGAAACTCGACTCATGTTGTGCTCGACAGATGGGAGGGAGAAAGGTTCAAATAAAATTCAAACTTTGTCAAAGGAAAATGGTGAATAATTTTCGTAATCACACTTCGCACCCTGGTGCGTGAACGCGACGTAACTTTAAGATCTAATCATCTTCCGCGTCTTTTCGGAGTCAGTTTTGCCTTATTTCAACAGAAATTCCAAGTTTTCTTGCTCCTATAGCGCTAACAACACTGGTAACATGACAAATTTCATGTTTTTACATTCAACTTGAAGGGGCGGGGATGTCTTATGCGTTTAGCTTTCATATTTTAATTAACTAATTTCTTTTATTTGCTCTATAAAGTTAAATCCGAGTATCTTCACCAGCGCATCTTGAATTAGAAGCCTTGGCACCTGCCATCACTTTTAGGTCATAAATTGGTACTTTGGGTCAAGTTGGATTTATTTCGTCAAATTGAATCTCCTCCGCGCCATCATCGTCATCATCATCATAAATGCAACGTATTCGGGGAAATTATGTTCAAATACCCGGATTGATCTGGAGGGAAAACGCCTTTGCGGAACGGTGATTTAGCTGTGTCGTGTCAATTTCAGCCGACTAAATGGACGATTTTGACAATCTTGAGCCGGGGTGGGGGTGGGGGTGGGGGTGGAACCAACTTTTATTCAAGGTTTATTGAAAGGCGATTGAAGTATAAATCTTGTGCCTTGTAGACCATACATGTCATTTGTGTATTTCAGAAGGCCAGCTTCTGGAATTTTCAAGGTTAGGAAAACTGGGTGCTGATATTATTTCCATGTTCACAGTCATTTAATCAGCCATATCCATCTGAGGTGAACCCTAGTCTTTGGATGATTAAATCGCCGAACCTGGCGTTTCTGAGTCTCTCCCCATATTATTATTATTATTATTATTATTGCAGTGTGAACGGCAAGTCCACGATGCTGGAAATCCTCGACACAGCAGGAAGTGAACAATTTGCCTCCCTACAAGACCTCTACATCCGCAATGGCCAGGGCTTTGTCCTCGTATACAGCATCACCTCCCTCCGAAGTCTCCTCAATCTTGAAGCCGTCTACCAGCAGATTCTTCGCTACAAGGCCAAATTCCGCCAACGCTCCGCCTCCACCTCATCCAAAGTCGATCGACCCTCCGAAGTGCCCCCGATCATCCTGGTGGGCAATAAGGTGGATCTCGAGGCGACATTGCGAGAGGTGGCGAGAGAAGACGCGGAGAACCTCGCCAGACGATGGGGCTGCTGTGGATTTGTGGAAACTTCGGCAAAGAATGGCGATGGTGTAATAGACGCTTTCCGACAGGTGGTTCTCCGAGTAAGTTGCCCCGCTTCCAAATGAACATCTATTAAAAGTATCAGCTGTTAGTATCTTCAGCATCAGTCCTGCTCAAATTTCTATATTACATTTTTTATGGAATGATTTGTGTTGTGCTATTGCACCTTGTTTTTTTTTTATTTCGAAATTTAAACGATGTTTAAATTATTGTGATACCTTTACTTAAGCTGTTGTTTGATTGGTGAATCGTTTTTTTTTTAGTTAGCAATTTTCGCAGGATTATAAGTTTCCTAATTAATTTTCCTTCCATGAATGGCTCTAAAGGAACGGTTTTTTGCCATCCAATAGACAAATTATTCTTCCAAGTTGATAATTTGTACTAACGTTTATTGGATATTAAATGTCGCCCCGAGTGCGCACTAGTATCCTCTTTTACTCATTTTTTATACGCATCTGATTAGATTGGGCGATCCTTTGACATAGTGTTGATCTTCTCTTTTTTGGCAACCTGCATGAATTCGAATATTTAAAAATCTGTCTTTCTCTCTCTACCATAGGCACTGGCCTATTTCAACACGACTGGTTGATCAGATTGCAATCTATTGCCTCCACCCTTCGTCCCCCCCCCAGACTGACTTGACCCCCACAACACCCCACGATAATGTGTGAGGTCACTTCGAGGTGACGTCATTAACTTCTGTTAGAGCTGGCCTGCTTTCAACTCAGGTTATAATTATAGAACACTCTAGTGGAGTTTGCTTTGGGGATCTGGCAAAGTGCTTCCAATTAGGGGTTTAGCTATCTGCATTATTCTCTCCCATCAGCCGCCCGATGGAATACCTTAGTAATTGTGTTAAAATACTAATAACTTTTCCTCAATGTTAACTTCCCCCCCCCTTACCTCTTGCAATAATTGGATTTGGAGTCCTCAACTTCTAGACTTGACTTCTAGGTAGTCCGACGTGACTTTGACGTCATTTTTTTATTGCATTTGGTTTGGAATGGGGAATATTTCGTGCAAAAATTGAGCACGATATGCATAGCGTTTTTTACATAATCGTTTTGAGATTAGCCACTTATCTTTCTTAATACAAGATCTACTTGATTATAATAAAAGTAGTGTGTGTGTGTGTGTGTGTGTGTGCTGTAGAAGCTTTAAGCAACCAATTTTCTCCTCCTTTTAGATGGCTCAGGAGGCTGCAACAAAGAAAGGCTGTGGATCAGGCTGTGAAATTCTTTGATAAAGAACCAAACAATGTCTTATCTCCTTCTCTGTATAGTCCTTACTACTACTACTACTACTAACAATATTCCTATCAGTAGTGATATTTTGCATGTTTTTTTTCTACCTCCCCGCCTCAAACTTCCACTTCCTTCAACTGTACATACATATACCCCAACTCCCCCTCTCCCCCTCTCCCCTCTCTCGCTCCCTTTCCTCGCTTGACGATTAGAAGCATTTAAGCACCCCCGGCTTGACTATCACTTAATACTAATTTTATTGATACCAAGTCCTGAATCGATTTCACAGTATCTCCTATTTTTATTGGAATGTAGTGGATAGTTAGGCACTGAATGAGACTTTACTTTATTGCATTAATCAGTATTCGCTTTAATTTAATCACGTTGCATCCATCCGCACAGACACTGCCGAAATGCTTCAAGCCCAGCTCTACCATACTCTCTCTCTCTCCCTCTCACACATACACGGAATGTACTCAACTGGGATATCTAACTCCTCCCACATAAAGACGCAAGTTATTGGAATCATTGTGCCACTTATTCGAATTGAGAGAAAAGTGGCCTTTAGGACCTGGGATAACGAAAACACAGACCTTCGCTCTTGGGATCCCTACGTGGGGGGGCATGACCCTTGCCATAATCGACTGTTGTAAAAGACCAAATCGAGTACATTTTGGTATTTTCGTTGAGAGGATTACAGGAGCTCACCACTACAATTATTGGCTATTCATCAAGTAGTCACTCTCTCTCTCTCTCATATAATTAGATTTACTTGAACAAATCAGTCATTTGAGCTGGAAGTCTGCTACCATCTGCGATGGTGGGTTGTATGTATTGGGTTGGCAACTAAGTCATTGCCGTTTTTGTTGACAGATTCACTCTTTACTTTCTTTTGTTTTGTTAACGTGGCCAGAGCATCTAACCTATATTTTTTTCTTACTGTATGGGCTTCTAGGTTAATTAGTAACAAATTTTTTTTGTTTAGTTCTTTAGTTTTGTTTTTATCCCAATTTAAAAATGAAAGAACAGGACGTGCACTTCCGACACATTTTATTGTATTACTTCCGAAAAGGCAACAATGCATCGCAAGCACAAAAGAAGTTATGTGCCGTATATGGAGATGAAGCCTTAAAAGAAAGGCAGTGTCGAAGTTGGTTTGAAAGATTTCGTTCCGGTGATTTTTCACTGAAAAATTCACAACGATCTGGCCGCCCAGTCGAAGTGGATGAAACGCATATCAAGGCCATTATCGTCGATTCAAATCGTCACAGCACAACACGAGATGATATTGCAGAGAAGCTCAATGTGTCGCATACATGCATTGAAAAAAAAATTAAAAACCCTTGGTTATGTCAAGAAACTTGATTTATGGATCCCTCACCAGTTAAAGGAAATTCATTTGACGTAACGGATTAGCATCTGTGATTCGCTACTGAAACGCAATGAGAATGATCCATTTCTGAAGAACCTAGTTACTGGCGACGAAAAGTGGATAGTTTATAAGAATGTTACTCGCAAGAGATCATGGGTGAAGCAAGATCAACCAGCCCAAACAGTATCGAAAGCAGAGATTCACCAAAAAAGATTATGCTGTCAGTCTGGTGGGGGGATCACAAAGGAATTTTGTATTTTGAACTCATGCCGCAGAACCAAACGATAAATTCAAATGTGTATGTTAAACAACTCGAAAAACTGAAGGATGCAATTGAAGATAAGCGGCCGGCATTATCAAATCGGAAGGGTGTTGTTTTCCATCATGATAACGCAAGGCCCCACACATCTTTGGTTACTCGACAAAAATGATTGGAACTGGGTTGGGATGTTTTGTCACACCCACCATATAGCCCTGACCTTGCGCCTTCGGATTATCATTTGTTTCGTTGCATGCAAAACTCTTTAAATGGTAAAATTGTTAACAACGCGGATGACGTCGGATCACACCTAATTCAGTTTTTTAATAGCAAAGACCAGACATTTGACGAACGGGGAATTTTTACTCTGCCAGAACGATGGAAAAAGGTCATCGACAAGAACGGCCAATATCTAATTGAATAAAGTTATATTGTTAAACAAAAATTCCGAATTTGCCTTCTTATTTGAAATCGGCAATGACTTAGTTGCCAACCTAATAGTTGGACAAAAGGCAAGTGAGCAGTGGTGAAACATGCGCCAACAAAAGCGGGAAAGCAAGAAACTCCACTGCATTCAGTCGCTCATTGTCCGGATGGAAATAATTGCCACCCTCAGCCTAAAACTACCGACTTGACCCTAACCCGTTTGACCTCTCTCACCCAATCCCCCTTAATAAGACACCGTTAAGCAAAAACACAGCTGTTAGTCAAATGTGCTTTAGAGATTGTCATACATACACATATACATTAAATAGTTACAAAGAAAGTCAGTATTGAAAAGAACCTATTTTTTTCCAAAAGCAACAATTACCAGACGAAATTCAAGAAAAATTCCTTTTGAACCAAGAGAAAGGCGAGCACGCGCGCACACACGACGGATTCCAGAGTGTGGGCAGGAAAGGAGCGATTTATATGCACTTTCAGTGGAGCAATTTGCATGCAAAGCATTAATTGTCAAGCTGACTGGAGAAGTACTAGAAATACAAACAGGTCTTTTAATAAAATCGCGCGCGCGCGCACATATATTACTACTTAAAAGGAAGGGTATCAACGCCCCCCCCCTCACCTTTCCGAATTCTCCATGAGATACGGATATGTCATTTCCATTGCAGACAATCTTCTGGCGATGCAAAATGCCCCGTGTTGGAATACTGAGTCGACCTGAACGCGTTCGTTTAAGATCCCGAACATCCACAATTCCTGCAAAAAATCGAGCAGAGTAAAAGAAGATCGTCATTAAGCCTATCTTAAAGTGGACGATAAAGTACAAAATACTGAACACCAGGCGACTCTAGGCTCAAGGGAAAGGAATCATAGGAATAAGAAATTGGGGGGGGGGGAAGTATTGAAATCCCACCTACCAGTGTCGAACACACACTTTAAAGCAACTTCAAATGGCTGCCAAACAGACACGCTCGTCAAGGCTAAATCCAGAACATGAAGCCCATTCTTTGAGCAGATTATTAAATTCTTAACTACGAGTGAAAAATGCGCTTAAAAGGATACCTACATTGACATCGCGGGGTGTGCGATAGACTTACCTCCACGTAGTGCACCCTGGGCAACGTATACTCATACGCCAAAAAGTCTATTAATGGGCGGTTGACTTCTCACTTCAAACTACCATCACCCCACTGCATGTCATATTCATCTACTTCCACAGTACTCACCTCACCTTTTTTTCTACCTTTGTATCCGTCTATCTCTTTTACATCTTTGAAAAACTTTTCTGTTCCCCCCCCCCTCTCGAATTTGTCTCACTTTGATGTTCCTTCCCCTCTGTGAAGCCTGAAGTCAACTAAAGGGCTAATGATAACCAACAAAACGCCTGCCATTTGATATAAATAAATACATTGGCATCGCCTCTGCGCGGTAATGTAAGCGAGATGAGAGGAGACAAATAGTTTGATCACCACACACACCCAATCAATGGACTTCCTGCCTCGTAAGTGGTACTCCCCCCCAAATAGAACTCTTAAAGAGGACGGCGGGGAGAGGAGGGGAGGATGCGAAATTATTGTCATCCAAATTTCCCATTTGAAGATGAGAGAGATTTGATGAGGCGTTAAGAAGTCAATTAAGATGACGATTCTGCAACTCAAGTAAAGCAGGCTGCCTCTCATGCTTCTTTAGCCCCCAACACCCCAGGGCTACTCTTGGAAGTAGAAAATTTACAATAACCAAATTGTGAAGAGACGATAGCAGCTATAAGAGTGAAGATACCATTTCTTCATTACACGGAGACATTTTGTCTTCTGGGATATTTGGCAACAGGGAAATTTAAAATGATGGATAAATTCTGCTCAGAACAATGAATATATGCCTAAGACGAAGTAATGGTGCTTGAAGAGGAGGTCACCTTGTTGTGGCAAAAAAAGATCTGACAAATTGAGAACTCAATTCCTAAAGCAACGATGCCTAATCTCGGATAAACTTGTGTGCTAGGATGGAGAAATGGACGCCATTTATGTTATAACAAACAGCAAAACTCAAATCTAAATGGTACTTTCATGATAAGATCATTATATTCTGTGGAGATACACCCGAAAAGAGCCAAGTTACCCCGACAGGAGCCTGATTTCTCTAGCGGGAGTTATGCACAAAAAGAAGTGAAAGATGATATAAAAACCAGCTAACCGTTTTGGGTGATCAGAGTATGTTTTTCATCGAGATTAGAGAAGGCCTTCATCTTCTTGGTAATTTCGACCTGATTACATCGTGGTAAGGTTTCTTTCAAGTAAGCGCAGCTGATATTTGAAATGGAAGAGGAAGAATTCGATACTGGAGTCGTCGATTTCGATGATCTGCTGTGAAAGACCTTTGAGAACTTTTTTTTGGAGGTGCCTTCGGTACTGGAGGAAGGGAGTTGTTTAGGACTCTTCCAAGGAGACTTCAAGGAAATAAATAAATGCCAATCAGTATAAAAGCGCAGTTTAAAATTTGAACGTAATACAAAATATGCAAAAAGACAAACAAACTTAAGATCGAGAGTAACAAGTTCTAAACCACCCCTAAATCACGATCTAAACGTAGTCAATAAAACTAGAGAACAAAAAAAAACATTAATTTCCCATTTCACGTGGGGGGGGGGGGGGGGGGGGAGGGGAGGGGTAGACATCACAATTTTCGAGAGAGAAGAAATACTATCTTGAATCAAAAGAATTACTGTTGAAGGTTCCATCCTCTTCCTCTTGGCTGTTAGAGACACCAAAAAAAAGAGAGAGAGATGGCTACTACGACCACAGAAAGCGGCGAGCAACAAGTACTTTAAACATAACCTCCCTCTGAACCTGAGAGTTCAAAAAGGAGCCATATGAATGACCAGGTTTCCCTACGTATTGACGTACTCCCCGTTTCATGTTGATTAAATAGAAGATATCAAATTTAAAGTGTAATAATTTATTAGATGATGCCAACGCCTTTGCAGTGAAGATTGAACTAGAAAACGCCCGCGCTAAGATGGGAAAAGAATTCGGTAAACTTAGGACTGCAACTACTCTCATATTCTTTCATTTCGCAATGATAAATGTGACTTGCTTGGCGTGAAGATTTGGAATTCGAGGCCTCATTAGGAGGGTGGTTGGAAAGCCGACTTGAAGATGAAGGGCCCGCCTCATCAGCAATAAGAGAGCTACCAGTGCTCCGAAAGTGATTTGCCTCATCGGAGTAGGCCGTCTGAAAGACCTTATCCAACTATAAAATAAGTGAAAGCGTTAAGAAGTAATAGAGAAAATAACACCAGGAAGGTGATCAAAGAAGCAATACGATATATGTATATATATATATATATATATATATATATATATTTCAACAACAGACTCTAAACCGTCCATTTCGAAGAGTCAAAATGGTTACACTACTTTCTCAACGTGATTTATTTCAAGACACGAAAGCGAGAAATCTAAGAACCAACAAAGATGGCATTTTCTAATGGTGGATTCAAATACACTTCTTGAATGAGCCAGTTAGTCAAAATATTTAATGGCAGGTGCTTATTGAAAACATCGTATTCAAGATCTCTGACAAATGAAATGTATGAGCCCACTGCGGATCACCTACAGCAGCAGGTCACAGCTTCCCACATAGAGAAAAAAGATGAAAATAACACAAAGGAGGAAAATAGGCACAAACAATCACACTTAAAATGTAATATAAATAATTAAATTAATAATGACTCTAAAGTTCACAATAAAAGACATCGCTTACTCGACATCCACGAAGCATCCAATCAGATATTGGTGACGTTTCGCGCTCATTTCGAGTGGACGTGGATCTAGAGACCGTCTTTGGCCTTTCAGGCGGTTTTTGAGGCAAGGTCTGAACACCCACACTAACAAACTTGGGATAAGGTCTGCGTCCAAATCGCGTCCGACGACTTTCCGCTCGGGATTCTTCAGATTTGTCGGAAGAGACACTGCTCTCCTCTTCTTCCAGCATTGTGACGCTCGGAACTGTTTCAGCTTCATCAACATATAAAATATCATTAACAAGACGACCATTGAAACTATTTTCGGAATTCCTTCGGATTGGAGAAAGAGGAGATGAGGACATTTGAGAACCAACAACGGCCTGAAAATAGTTCAAATAAATTCAAAATATATCTTACATTTTGAAAAACAGAAGCTTTGCCAGATATTTCCTCTAAAAAATTAAATAACTTGGAAACCCAACGCTTTCGATCAGTTTTAGGGAGACCATTAGAGAAAGCCTGCTTGAGCTGGGGGTTAGGATTAATTTTGGCTACAGAAAACTGAACTTCGTATAACCCCCAAGCAATAGGTCCATGCAAAAGGAAAGTCTGTTGTCCATCTGATACAAGGTTTCCTTGATTATTAACGAACACGATATTTCCAGATGAATGTAATTGACCAGATTCCAAATGAGTGCCTGCAATCCTAAACGTCCCATTTCCTTCGAAGTCAATGATAGCCCATTCTTTTAGGTTTGTAATAATATCTGACCCAAGTGAATTTCTACCATTCTCCCCGTTTTCAGCCGGGACAGGAAATGTCTGCACCGAATTGTGTACATCAGCTGGAATATTCTGAGATATGAAAGTAGCAGCGGTTTGTGGGTGAGAGAGAAAGCTGAAAGAATTCTGGGGAGGAATTGTTAATTGAGGATGTGCAAGCGGGTGACCATAAAAATAAGGAATACTTGGAGAAACTGGGAATTGATTTACTGGTGTATTAGGTGAAAAACCTAAAAACTATTAAATATATGAAAATGCTTACCTATTGGCCAGGGGAATGTTGCAAATTGCTTATTAGATTGCCTAAGAAAACAATAAAAAAGACGTAAAACTTACATGAACAAAATCTGATCGTTAAAAATTCTAAACTCGCGCCTTTTCAAATATGCTAATTTTGCAGCCAACAAACGAAATCTATAGAAATTACCTGTGGAAATATTTTTTGCATTTGATTATTATAATTTTGCCCTCATTTTTAGCTAAAATATATATTACTTTTGACATTTAATACAGGTATAAGGTTTATAATTATTACCATATATTCTTTAAAATGAATTTATTTTTGAAATTAAGCAATCTATCATTAAGTTAATTATTCTGAGCTGCTTACATCTACCATTTATAATGACCTTAACGTTGTGTATTTAAAGGTTTGCATAGCGCTCTTCTGCGGTTTCGGTCGAGATGTCGGAGATCGTTCGTTTGCCCTTATTTAATTGTATTTATTTCTTAGGCAAAGTTTTATAATAAAGTCATTGATGAAGTTATTGAGGGAGTCAGGGATGCATTTATTCAGGATGGAGTTGACTTAGATGTTCTTGAACAGCTTAAAAAAGTAATTATTCTTTTCGCTGATTTTTCATGACTTTTGTAGCTCTGGATTAGTAAATTTGCCGATACCCATGTAACGGATCCAGAACCTGTAGCGCAGCCAGCTTCTCATTATGCTCGTGTCTTGGGTCCGCAGTTGACTTCTGTTAGTCCAGTCCCTATTGCCCGAATGCCACTCCAACTTCCAGTTCCAGGTAGTTTAAGAAACTTGGCTCCAGTAGCGCGTCCAAATGCGCCTTTGCCAACCGTGCCTGTTGCATCTAATGCGACTCAACAAACTGGCTTAGTAGTGTCTCCTGCTCATCAGCAAAGGCCAGCGATCGTTTTAGCTTCTGCTCTTAACACTCAATCTTCGAATTCTCAAACCACTTTTGCGAATATTGCATTTAGACCCCAACCAGCTGCTTCGGGACAGCAAACCGCCATTATTGGGCAACCAACTTTGGCCGGAGTCAACGGCATGACTGCTTTTCCCAGTCAGTTTTTTCTTATTTCTATGTTATCTATGTTTATCTCAACGTTTTCCATATAGCCTGTGTTTTTGCCAATTTTTTAAAATAGTGTCATAGTTTCAGCTTGGTGTGAATCTTTTTCAATCTTCTAATATTTCATAAGTCCTTATTTTTCTATTCCCAGGCCAAAACATTCAATTCGTTCAGTTGGGTCAGCCTTTAATGATGCCCTTTCAAATTCGTCCACAGACAGTTATTCAAACACAACCACAACAACAGCAACAAAATTTCAACAGAGTGCGTAAAGCTTTCTTATTCTTTTATGTATTTATCTTAATATTTTTTAGCCAATCAAAATTCAAGTAGTATATTAATTAGCAATAAATTTAGTGGCAGTGATTTTTATTAAAAGAGTCTGTGCACCCATTTGCTTTTTGCCAATCATTTTCGGTGATTAGTGCTATTCATTAAAGCTTTGAAATATATGGGGTTTCTTCCCTCTATGGTATGGAAATTTTGTAAACATCCGCTCTACGATTTTGTATCTATTATTTTAAGGTTCAGTTTCCTCTTTATTTTGTGAAGTTTACAAGGTAGCATCTCTGTTTAATTGCATTTTGGTAGTTCAATTATGCCCTTCTAATTCCACCTATTTATTGTAGTGCTTGAGCTGTACATTCAAACTTTTTCCTTCGTAGTCACAAGTTGATGGAGCAGGAGACGGTGCAAGTGATTTCAGTGACGAAGGGGAAGTGGAAGTGTTGGAGCCCTACTCTGTTGAAACTCCTCTTCTCCGTTCTGGACCCATGAGTCTTGTTCCGGCCAATTCAACTCCAACACCTCAACGCCAATTTCTCTCCGAAACTCCAGCTCGGCCGACACTTGCTACTACTACTGGAGGAGACGACGATTCTGACGTCGATGACGATGGTATGGTAGCACCAACTCCTCGTCCAACATCCACAGCTGGTGGAGACACACCAGCAGCGGTTAGTGGAAAGCGGCCTGTTTTTGATACTCCCTCTTTCATGGGTAGTAGCGTAGTTGAAAAACGCACGCGTTTCCTATCTCCTCAGGGGGATTTTGGTCATGAGGGTTCCGATGTTGATGTTGAATCCGATCCGGACGATTTTGACCCCGATCACCTGGGGTAAGCCAACTTTTTCTTAGTTTTGGTTTTGAGTTAGCTAATGGCTTGTGATCTACGAATTTCAATTAAAGACATTAAATTATATTATCAGATGTGTTTGGTCTATTGGGTCAAAAGTATTAAATGAGTGCCATTTTTAAATGCCGAGAATGTTTTCTTTAAATGTGCCATTTTAACTAGAAACACTTCTTCGTTTGCTTTTCGCGTTCCCTATGTACATTCGGGATTGGTATAACTTTTGGAAAGAACACTGAGAGAAATAGTGTTTTTGAACAAGTTATCCTGAAAGTGGTTCTAATTTTGGACCAAAATGGGATGGGGGAACACTTGTTTTCATTTCATATTTTGTACGTGCAGTTGTATCAGGAGGCTTTATGTAGCACTTACTAAGGCTCTAAGAATGGCACAAAAACACGTTTATTCCACCTTCCTTTCAGCAAATGTTTTTGGTAAATGCTAGTGCCGTTATGAGTGTTCAATTCTCTTGCACATACTGAATCAGTCAATTTTGCGATCTACAAATCTATATCGCCCCCCCCCCCCAGCTCGACAGAAAGAAAGCCCATGGTTCCTGTTAGTCAGTACAAACCATGTTCAATACATCGTAAATTAATTTACTTCGCATAACAAATTATGAAGGTAATCGTTGGTTAGAAAACATAAAATTAGACATTCATTTCGCCATGACTGAGTAGTTTTGACGTTTCTTAGTTATATTTTCATCTTGGCAGTAAGAAACCTGTACATAATTTTACTATGAACGCTTGATAGTCAAGCATTCCCGCTCAGTCGTATTTCTCACCAGGTGTGAAATTGAAGTACTTCATAGGTTTCGAGTGGAAAGAGTGATTGCTGAACTTTCAACTGGAAGTCGATGGGGTGGCTGGCAACTGCTAAGGGTCTTGTCTGTACCCTGTATTATTGTTAAGTAGTCCTTAGATTCCCTCATATGAACAATTACTCAGACTTGGTGTCATCAAGCCATGCTTATATGCAGGATTGAGCTACAAAATTGATTAGATATCAATAACTCTAAAAATCTTGGTCTTTTAAGAATAAATGAAGTATTCACTTTCAGGTAAATCACCGAATTGTCCCTTCTAGATTGAATAAATTTGACATGATAAAGATGAGACGTGTGCATTGGAGCAAAGTTAGTCTACTAAAATCGTTTATTTTTTCTTATGTGATGGATAGATTGGAAGCAACCGTGGAAACGGTGGCAACAAAAACGTCTCGAAGGAAGCAAAAGAAACCACTTCGAGGAGGGGGCCATGAAGATGAGCACATTCCAGACCATTCTCTGGCGACCAAGCTAGATGATGAATTGCCTCCACCGCCCCCTGAAGAACCAGAAGACGGAGCAGAAGGCGATGAAGAAGATGAGGACGAGCCACTCAATTCCGAGGATGATGTTAGTGATGAAGATGCCGATCTCATATTTCGCTCCGAAGATCTTGTTGTTTGTCAATATGAACGCGTAAGTGTACTCAATAGAAGAGGCCAAATTAACTCCATGCTATTGATCCAGCTGCAATAGGCTACTTAGTGTTCTCGTATAATTCTGGTGATCTTCTAAAAGTAGACTTTAATTATAGTTCACTCGAGCCCGCAGTAGGTGGCGTTTCTGGTTACGCGACGGAATTATGAAGATCAAGGGGCGAGAACAAGTCTTTCAAAGACTCTTGGTGGAAGCCGATTGGTTAGTTCTTTCTTTCAATTTTCTTGTCTTCTCAACTTCCAATTCAGCCGTCTATTTACGTCTTTCTTTTTCCAGGATGTATAATTCGCAACAACATCGTGCGACAACCTAGGGATAATCTGGAATCCAATTCGTGATGTAAATAATCAATAATTGACTGACGAATGGTTGCCGATTCCCCAATTCCTCTTTTCCACTCAGTTTGCATTTATTCTATGGACACTGCATATGCAAAAGCATTTGTTCCTCTCTCTCTCCCCCTGCCCCTATGTAGCTCTTCGAGTTTTAATGTGGACCCCCTCCTACCCTCCCCCCCCCCTCTCCCCTCTTCTGCCTGCTTCCCCCAAGCGCGAAATGAATCCGACAATCTCTTCTGTTCTAATAAAATTGTCAAAATCCCGACCATCCCGTCTTCTCATTGCACTTTTTCGTAGTGTGGTGCACAACTCTGCCACTATGATCTACCCGCTCACTGGTTGACAACTGTCTTGGATCTGAAGGAAAGAGGGGGGGGGGAGGGGAGAAGGAGCGAAAATGAGCTGAAGTCAATGACTGGGGTTGTATTGATTGCTACAGATTGTCGTGCCCCGAATAATTGGCAAATTGTTAGGAGTTCCTTGCTTCCGGATAATAATTCGGGGACTATGAAGGAATTTCAGGCCATTCGCAGAATTGCACATCCGAATATGGGTTTTGCCCACAGAGTTCCAACCTTGAAAAGACACAGAGTTTTTTCGTTGACAGGATGGTAGTGGTAGTAGTAGTAGGCATGAGAAGTGGAGTTCACCATCAGAGGACTTGAAAGACAATTTTCCTCCGTCGAAAGCTTCTCGAGAAGATGTCGCAAAATGCTTCATCTCAATGTCCCTGTGGTGTTGCTTGAGGCAGTCATGACAGTCAACTCGAGGCAATAGGGAAGTGGGAACTGGAGCGTCACCTTTTGACTCAAGCATTCTCCTCGAGATTCGAAGCCGAATGCGCCTAAAGTTTGAATTGGAACATCGCGTCTGGTCATAGGGAAGTGGAACTCCCACTCATCTACTGCCTCACCAACAGTCCATCTTTCACTTCCGACAGAAACTAAAATTACTGGTACATCAAGCAGTGAAGTCACTTGCCTCTCGACTGCTCACAATTCTGGATGTAAGATCAATTACTGGATGTTAAAATGACCTACACACTGCTCCCACTTTCCTGGAGAAGGCTTCATCATTGGACATCTGGGACTGAGTTGGGGAAAAATAGCAGCATCGTGGGTGGGGGCGGTGATTGCAACTGACAGCTTGGATACAATCTTCATGTCAATTGTGCTAATGTTGTTGGTCGCTTTGCCATATCAGTGTAGACTACGAAAAGGGGGTTGGGCGACACATTGTGAAACGGTAGATGTCTCTTGTTGAAACTAGACAATGATGTCGTGAAAATTGCGTTTGAAAAGAAAAGCAGTGCGGATGCACGTCGGTTTAGATCTGGCGCATCAATTACTCCAGTCAGATGGACATGTGAGATTTAATACGTCCATTGGGGTAGCGTGAGTATCATTATACAAAATGGCAGGCATCTTGATGTTTATCATTAGCCCTTTAATTGACTTCAGGCTTCACAGAGGGGAAGGAACATCAAATTGAAAAAAGTCGAGAGGGGGTGGGGAACAGGAGATTGTTTCAAAGATGTAAGTGACAAACACAAAGGTAGAAAAAAGGTGAGGTGAGTACAGCACAGACACAAAGGTAGAAAAAAGGTGAGGTGAGTACTGTGTACAGACACAAAGGTAGAGAAAAAGGTAAGATGAGTACTGTGTAAGACACAAAGGTAGATGAAAGGTGAGGTGAGTACTGTGAAGTGGGAAAAGAAGAGCGATTCACAGATGTAAAAGAGACAGATGACACAAAGGTAGAAAAAAGGTGAGGTGAGTACTATAGACAGACACAAAGGTAGAGAAAAAGGTAAGATGAGTACTATGGACAGACACAAAGGTAGAGAAAAAGGTAAGGTGAGTACAGCACAGACACAAAGGTAGAACAAAGGTGAGGTGAGTACTGTGTTACACGAAGGTAGAGAAAAAGGTAAGATGAGTACTGTGGAGGCTTAGAAAAGGTAGGAAAAAGGTGAGGTGAGTACTGTGGAAGATACAAATGTAGAAAAAAGGTGAGGTGAGTACTATGGAAGTATACAGACTCAGAGGTAGAAAAAAGGTGAGGTGAGTACTGTGGAAGTAGACTAATATGCCATACAGTGGGTCATGGTAGCTAGTAGTCGAATTTGACATACAGTGGGGTGATTGTAGTTTGAAGTCATGTCAAATGCCGGTTAATAGACTTTTTTGCCGTATGAGAATGTAGGACATATAGGGGGGTCATGGTAGTTTGAAGTGAGAAGAAAACTGCCGGTTAATAGACTTTTTTGCCATTGAAGTCAGAAGTCAACTGCCGGTTAATAGAATTTTTTTGCCGATAGTGAGAAGTCAACTGCCGGTTTATAGACTTTTTTGCCGCTTTGAAGTCAGAAGTCAACTGCCGAATAATAGACTTTTTTAAGAAGTCAACTGCCAGTTAATAGACTTTTTTTGCCGTATGGCCGTATGATTATACGTTGCCCAGGGTGCACCACGTGGAGGTAAGTCTATTGAAAAACGAATGCCGAGTGATAGAATTTTTGCCGTAAGAAAGTACGTTGCCCAGGGTGCACCACGTGGAGGTAAGTCTATCGTAGTTAACTGCCAGTTAATAGACTTTTTGCCGTATGAATATAACGAAAGCCGAGTGATAGACTTTTTTGCCGTAAGAAAATACGCTGCCCAGGGTGCACCACGTGGAGGTAAGTCTATCGCACACAAACTTCCGGTTAATAGACTTTTTACCGTATGAGTATACGTTTCCCAGGGTGCACCACGTGGAGGTAAGTCTATCGCACACCCACCAGGGTGCACCACGTGGAGGTAAGTCTATCGCACACCCCGGTATCGTAAAAATTGGTAACGGTGCAGTTGATGATACTACGAAGGTTATGAGACATCTGTGGTGCTCAGGCCGCTTCTAAGAATGAGAGAGAGAGAGGTTCTCGATCCAAACGCGAGTTGCCCTACATACTCACTCCTACTTCTCCTTCTTCTTCTTTTTATGGATTGTCTTCGGTGGTAGAATGTGAGGCGGAAGAGGAGGATGGCAGATTAGAGCACAGCTCGGCGAATGCTTGTGGACATGCGCATAGCAGGCGACAAATGAGAAGGTCTGCGCCGTCTGCGTGGTCGCTCTGTGACACCGACTTTTGCAGACGCACATGAAATGAGAAGAATCTTGGCAGGCTACAAACTGCCAGAATTTCAGAAGACAGCGCTTTGGTTTAAACCGCACCTCTGATGATAAATTATCTAAAGCACATGTTATGGACGTGAATCAGAATGCGGACAATATGTCGATTTCAGTGTCCAGATGTATGGCACTTTCCCACATCATCCTGTCGTTATTTATGCATGATTAGAAAGCCGTAACTACTGTTACTAGCAGCTCAAACGACATTTTCAATTGAGATTCTCCATTTTCATATGAGCAGACAGTGTGTAATTGAATACTGATCTCCAAGTGAGACCGCAGTTAGAAGTTTGGAAATCCAATAAAAAGACAACTTAGTCTTTGCTGAATGCAGCCTATTGATTTCGAGTGGATGTTTCGTAGATTTCCATATTGGTCTTCTTACCTTCCTTACCTTTTACTTTGGCCACGATTCACTTGTCTTATTTCTGGAAAATGAAGCATGGGTTTTTTGGTTTGTTGGGGGTGAGGGGGGGGGGTTGGGGATTGGGGATTGGGAGGAGGGGCTGGAGGTGTTGGTAATCATGTGTGCAGAACTCCCATTTCTTAAAAAAAAAAGAAATTACACCCACCGAGCGGGCGTAAGGAAAGTACTCAGTTGAATTGCTGTTTCATCAAGAGTGTGGGACACGTCATCGCATGCGCGTACACATAGGCTTGAGGTGCGGATGTACAACCTCGCGTACGGATTGAGGACAAGAGCACGGAGCCAATAGCAGCTCAGTGACCCTCACTTGTTTTACCAAATCCGCCATGTTGTATGACTGAGTTCCTTCCTTTGTACACTTCTTGCGTGGTTTATCTACTGAATAAACGTGCTCCGTGCTAAACGTCTGTTTCCTTCATAGCTGGGCTATAGCTTAGCTGTTTCTGGGAGTCTAGCTAGATGTTGGAGAATTTGCCATAGAGATTTCTGAGTCAGTCAGGCTTTACTAAGGTAGCAATCCGCTACAAGAGAAAATTTGTCTCTTAAAGCACAAAACCAGGCTTAGGACAAATAAATTATTATTCATTAAATTTAAATGAGTGAGATATTAACTCAAAGTAAGTTTGTCAACAATAATTTTTAAGTGATAACTTATCAATATTACTATTAGTGATTTCTAATTTACCGAATGTGAGCACCATTTTTTCGAGAAAAGGTAGGGGGGGCAGAATTTTTGAGCAGGAATTGCGGAAGATCAAAGACCATCCAAGGAAGAAATGAGCCAAGAAGCCTGTGTGGAAATCAAGGAAACTTCCTCTTCTTCTTCGGGTTACCTTGCAGACGATGAATACGATCCCGATTCGAAAGATAGCGAAGCAGTTTCAAGCAATTCCATGAATTATTTCTCTCTTTCTGAATCCAAGAATTCTGGGGGAAATAATGCCTCTGGTCGACGATTTTGTCCGCTATTCTCCTGTTGTTTTAACTGCCGTAAAAGGAATTCAAACAATAATGTATAAACAGTGGATAAAGTAAAATAATGAAGAAGAAGAAGAACGCGCATTATATTACTTTTTAATGCTTTTAGTCAATATAACTTTTAAATTCGGTGAATCGAACTTTTACCTTAACATCACAATTCCCATATTTGGCTTTACGCAACACCCTCTTCACCCCAAACCCAGATAGATGGCAAACGCCCTCATCATAGTCCGCCAAGTTACCATGAGCTAATTTTGGCTGTAAATTTTTCGCAGTTTATCCAAAATTGCTGGATTTGTAAAAAGGGGTTTGCTAACAAGGTCAGTCGTGATGATTTGAACAAGTGTAAATCAATATAACGGTTTATCCCCAAGGGAAGTGGACATATTTTGCACATTTTTACTTCATTGAAAACTTTTAGTAATATCTGATTATGAGTCACCGTTTTAATAAGTACTCAACGCTGCAGGAGGTGGTGTGGTGGTCATCGTCCCAAAATGGTCGCTTCCCCTCAACTTCTTAAAAAACTTAACTCAACTTCAAACGGTCATGTGTGCCAAAGAAAGACAAATAGCACCAAATTCAATTAGCCAATCAGCGGCCTTCCTAACTGGTAAAGGGGAAACAGCAAATTCTCCCATGGAAGAAGACCAAGAATGAGATTATGGGAAGGAATGAAGGAGGTGAGGAGAAACTGCGCCCTGGAAGGAGGCTAAGGAGTGGACGTCCAGTGGAATTGAAATATGGCCCGACGGAGTACGCGTGAACTGGGCATTGTTGAATGCCCGGTGACAAATTTCAAGTGACGGATGGAATGCGCGGAGGTGAGTCAGAATGGCGAGTGGGGGGGGGAGGCATTGCAAGCGCAACGTGGAGGTCTTTTTGATGCTGACAGTCGGTTCTTCCTCCCACTAATCTCTCCATCTGCATCACCAATTTAACTAATTGTTTTGTTGTCGGTAGAACGAGCAAGAAAACTTCTTCCTGGGTTAATGCAGAAGACGACTGTGTTTGGCTTATTGACAACTAAACAGCAGCTCTAATTCTTCCAGGTAGCAATAGACACCATCTCTTAGTCATTACCTTTGTGGGAAGCGATGGTTGTCCTAAGACGCCAGATTCGAGAGTTCAGTGGGTGAAGTGATGTGGTTACAAGCCTACTCGATACAAGATGAGTAATGAAAACATTAAAAGAAAATTGAAATTGACCTGGAAAAACAGCACCGACAGGATTACGAGAGGCCTCTTCTGGCGGCATCGGCCAGTGATGTGGCTATTGGTGAAAGCTGTGTCAGAACACACAAGGTCAGCTTGGATCATGAAATTTCCAAAGGTAATCATAATTATTCGCAAAAGCGGGGGCTTTAATTTGTTTGGTCGATAAAGAAAGACATCGTAGTCTCCCACTATAGGCCCAATATCGTCAAAAACAATAGCTTAATTTTCTCATTGTTGGCCATTTGGTCGTCTTACTATGGCATTTTGTGATGAGAAATAGTTTGATAGGAGATTTCAATCCAAAATACATCAGGATAAGCTGAGAAAATAACGATTTTAACTTCAGAGTCGAAGATAAAGTGTTCCAGGTTGATGTAAACAAGTTTTTTGAGTATTTCATCTCCATAGAGGCTCTTCTTGTGAATGGACAAAATTGACATTCAGCAGACGTTCAAAATCACTTACCGGCTTTCCAAAAGATCATTAAATAGGAAAAAACTTGTAATGAATGAGTTCTTTCAACTGTTACAGTCGAAGATGTCTTTGCTTTCTCCTGAAGTTAAAGGAAGGTGGAAATGACGTGCGCAAACAGACCAAGACAGAGAGTTGGAGGCTGTTTTTGCTGAAAACCCTAATTAAAATTTTCATGGAGGGTAAACATGAAGAGAATTCGTATGATACCTCAACGGGATACCAAACAAGTGTAAATGCTACCCAAACTGCGTCAACTCTCTCCTGTGGGACACGTTATCGCTTTGTGCGTCATCGTATGCCTGCATGTCTGCTCGCCAGGATTGGGAGGTGCGGCCGTACAACTCTGTGTGCAGCGACCGTACAAACAGTGACCAATCATCAACCTCTGTTTAACCTAATCCCCAATCCTGATCATGAGTAGCTCCCTGCGTGTACACACTTGATCCGCAATATACGTACTGAGTAAACGTGCTCCGTGCTACACGTCTGTTTCCTTTCATAGCTGGGCTATAGCTTAGCTGGTTCTGGGAGTCTAGCTAGATGTATGAGAATCTGCCACAGAGATCTCTGAGTCGGCCAGGCTTTAACTAGCGTAGCAATCCGCTACACTCCCCCCCCCTCTTTGGTTCAATTTCTCGATTAGGACGATTCTCACGAAAGCAACCAAGTGTCGAGCTTGGAGACTGTGAAGTTTCTGGGAGAAATACATTACCTGCTCTACCCTCCTAATGTCTATGTATATAACCGTTGAATTTCTTATATTTTTATGG